AGGAGGCACTGGGGAGATGGCTCAGTCAATGTAGTACTTGTTGCGCAAACGTGAGGAACTGCGTTCCGATCACCAACACTGACGTAAAAAGTCACTTGTAAATCCAGTGCTGGGGAGTCAGAGACAAGCTGAGCCCTAGCGCTTTTTGGCCGTTCAGTCTAGCCTTATTGATGAGCTCCAGGTTCTGTGAGAGATCTTGTCTCAAAAAACAAGGTGGTCTCTGCCTAGCTCAGACCTTCAGGGCTTCTCCGTGGCTTCTCATTATCAGGTTGAGTCTTGGTAGAGTAGATCTGATCCCTCGAAATCTCACTTTATGATAGTGGAGGCTGCTTCTACTGTGTCGAGGCACTCAGAGCTCTCGACAACTCTAAGAACCTGACAAATCCTAGCAGTAAAGCCGGTTTAGCCTCAGAATTTCCTAGGTGGCAGGTCCCTTTAACAGAACACTCAGAACTAGATGCTTTGGGAACAAGTACTAGTGAGGTGCCAGGCTCTAACTCTAACTCTGCCTCTCCTTATGATAATCCAAAGGGGAACAAAGGAATTCAGAAGCACAGGTTCCAACACGTGTCAAACTCCTCATCATCTTAGATCCCTATCCACCGTCCTAGTCACAGTCACAATCCATGATGTAATGGTAACTCCACCGACAAGATGTTTTAGAAAAGGAAATACAGACACAGACAGCAGATGGATGCTGCCAGGGACACGATATGATGGAAGGACCTGACCCACAAGGAGACACCAAGAGGGAACTTGGGAGAAGACCACACTGTTCCTTAATCTTGATTGCGCTGTCAAAACTGATGGAACTATGAACTTAGAAGTATGAATGGCAATGGGATTTTATATTTTACATAAGTAAAAGTAGTGCTAATGCCCAAACTCATAGAACTGTATGATAAAAGGGGCTCAGAGCTTCCACTGTATATTAATTACACATCTTTCTTATTAAAATAAATGCAAAACAAGTATATTTTAAGCCCTAAAAATTTGAGTGTCATAACAAATATATTAATATGAATATATATTTTACATGTCATTTGACTTTTATTATGACTTGTCATTGGCAACAAATGTCTCCAACTTGGATGTGACATGACTCTCCAGACAGTTTCTTACAAGGCGAGTTCTGACTCAGGAGTGGCAATTGCAGACAGCCTGCATTTGTCACAGCTTCCAGGTGATGCTCACGCTTTTAGGAGGTCTGAGACACTAATGAGACCATTGGATGTGAAAAGCGCGCACTTTTTTGTTTTGGTATTTTTTTGTGTTTTGTTTGTTTTGGCTTTATTTTATGGGTTTTTTTTTTTTGAGAGAGAGAGAGAACATATGAAGTTGGGTGGGCAGGTAAGAGGGGAGGCTCTGGAAGAAGTTGGGGGAGAGGAAAGAATACAATCAAAATATATTATATGCAAAATTTTAAAAAAGTCTAAGGAAGAAAACAACCTATCAAAAATAAAATAACTAGAATGTACTTTGGTCAGCTCAGTCTGAAAAAGCCTCTTTGGTTTCAGTTATTTGAAGCATCTTTTAATATGTTAGGTAATGGGACATTGTGTACGTTGCAAAAAGTAATGAAGTCTTAAATAACAAAAACCCTCATGACCATATTAATGTTCAAGAGTGAAATAAGTTAGCTATTGTTCTTCTCTTTAAAGATCATCAATTGAGAGATTAGTAAATCTTTCTCTTACATCTTTCTCATGAGGAGAGATAGAGGTAGGAAGACATTGGAAAATGAGTCCCAAGTCTCCCATTTCCAGTTCCCGGGACTCAATTGTTGTCATGGTAACTGTGTTACCCTGTCAGCATCCTATTGTAGGCAGAACTCACAAACAATGAGCATCTAAGCATGCTTATAGCTTTCTGTTTGGAAATCATTCAGCAAGTTTTCTTTCAAACAGTGGTCTGGATGATACAATATATTGCAAGGGCAATTCATAAGCAATATGACTGGGAAATGATTCTCCCTCATCTTCCCTAATTATTATTCATTTAGGTAATAGGTTTCAGAGGGCAATTCCTGAGTTAGAATATTGGTAGTATGGGCCATCAAAACACACAGTTCACAGGCCAAATCCACCCCCTCTCGTGTTCATGCATCCTATGAGTTAGGAATTGTCATAGTTTTAGTGGTTGGAAAAACAAACTGAACTGGAGACACAGCTCACTGGAGGCCTGGTCCTTAACATGCTCAGGTCCTGGATTCAATCATCAGCACCATAAAAAGAAAAAAATAAAGAAAAGAATAATCATTGTGAGGCCTGAAAATGATACAAAACTAACATTTCAGCCTCAAAATAATATGGCCTAGAGGTACGGCATGTTCAATTATTGACATATTGCCCACGGTTGTTTTTGTGCTGTAAGAGCTGAGTAATTGTAACAGAAACTGTAGGCTTACAAAGCCTACAAACATTTACTACATATTCCATTGTGGGGAAATGGTGCCGGGCTCCATCCTACAGACATGGACTGTATGGGAGGAGTTAGACTAGGAAGCTAAGCATCTCTTGTCACAAAATCTGTCACAGGAGCTTGGGGTGGAGATCCAGGCATTTTCTGGCCAGTGTTCCTGATCCCAACTACCACTGCATACAGTTTTATAGTAGAGGCCAATTGGAGTGTCACCTGTTTGAACATCGTGTTCCCCCAAAACACACAGTGAAAATTAACCCCCAGTACCATCATATAGAGAACTGGGCCCATCTGCAATCCGATCAGGTTATAGAAATTCAACTGTCATGAAGAGGTTTAACAAGTTGATAAAATGTCTGGAGGGAACTGGCTAGGCCCCTTTTTGCCAGTCTGTCCCTTCTGCCATATGAGCATCTTGCACTTAAGGTGCCATCTGGGAAGCAAAAACTGACCCTCACCAGACACTGAACAGCTAGTGTATCAATCTTAGACTTCCACACTCACAATAAACTTATATGTTTACAAAGGACCAGGTTTCAGGTATTCTTCTATAGAAACACTAAAGGACTGGGATAGAATTTATTTCCTAGATGTGTCAGGTAACAGCTATCTAAACATGTGGATGCAGCTTTGGGACATGGTAACAGGTAGAGGCTAGTCTGTAAAGTGCTATTCTGATGAAGGACCAGAGAAGAAAGCTGAAGAGAGCCTCAGGCTTCTCAGAAATTGTCTAAGTGGTCATGAACAGAGTACTGAGCAGGAGATGGATAGTAAGGACTGATCCAATGCCAACCCAGAAGGAAGTTGCTATTGGAAACTAGAGGAAACGCTACCCTCATTATAAAGTGGCAAAACCCTTGGATGAATTGTATCCATGTTCAAGTACATTAGAAGGAAGAACATTTTTGGTGATAAACAAGCATATTTGGAAGAAGAAATCTCTAAACAAAGTGTGATGATGGAAGGATGCTTTCTCGGGACTGCTTATAGGAAAATATGAGGAGAGAAGAGTTAACTAAAAATGGCATTTCTGAGCCTGATCATACAAACAACAAAAAGTATGTTTGGGAGAGAATACCAATGGCATACCCAAACAAATATTTGGTAAGGTTTGTTTGAATACTAGGAAGCTGAATGTTACTCACCCAAACAATGGAAAAATGATCCCAAAGGCATCATATAGATCTTCCAAGGTTTATCCCCAACACAGGGTCTCAGGGCCTTGAGGAATAAATGGGCTCTTAGGAGAATCCAGACCTCACAGAACTTCAGGCTTGCTGCCCAGTACTGACTCAAGTTTCTGCTTCATGTATTTTGGCACATTGTTTCTCAGCTCAAGTGGACCCAGATGTAGCTTAGGCCATAGCTTAGGCCACTGCTCTGGTAGGAACACACTATAACCTCTGGCACATCTGTGCCATGCTAACTCTTCAGGTACACAGAGTGTAGATCTATGAAAAGGAGAAATAGCTACCTCCACCTAGATTCAAAGTATGTACTGAAGAGCCTTCAAGTCCAGGCAGAGAATTGTCTGGGTGGGGCTGATACATGTGGCACCCACTAAGGTAGTAACCTAGTGGAACTGTGGGGCTAAGGCACTCTAGCACTAACAGCATGTGAAACAAGTCTGGGGAAGTTGGAGGTATGAGACTCCAGCTTCTGAAAGCTGTAGCATAGTCCTTTCCACCCTGCTATCTCTAAAAGATGAGCGTTGGAGTCATAGATTATTCTTAAGCCTCAAGATTTACTTTTATTGGACCGAGGAAAAAGTTCAGTTAGTCAGCAGATCACTTTGCACAATGCGAGGACCTCAAAATCCAACCCCCAGGACACATGCAAAAAAATCCAGGTGTGATGGTGGGTGTTTATAATCCCAGCATTGGGGAGGTGGAGACAGGGGGATCCCTGGGACTTGATCTTCAAGTAGCTTAGCCCACACAGTGAGCCCCAGGCCAAGGAGATGCCTACCTCAAAAAATATGGCAGACGGTGCTTGAGGAGGACACACATGCACGGGGACACACACACACACACACACACACACACACACACACACACACACACACACACTTTACTTTTTGGTCTTGTTGGATTTGAGATTACTTGGGGCCAGTTACCCTGACCTCTTTGGCATTCCTTCCTTCTGAGATGGGAAAGTCTCTCATAGGCCCTGTTGCGCCGCTGTTTTGGAAGCACTTCATACCTTTACTTTCACAGTGCCAGAGCTGGAAGGGATAGGGCCAGAGGGGTTCCTGTGGTGAATGAGATTAAGGTCTTTATAAAAGATGTGCCACATAGTGCTTCTGCCCTTCCGTCAATCACCATGAGAGGATGGAGTGATAAGGTACCATCTTGGAAGCAGAGATGCCCAATCATCACTAGAAAAGGGAACTGCTGGCACCTTGACCTTTGTCCTCCCAATCCCCACAGTTAGACTTTGTACTGCTTATAAATTACCTAGTTTCAGGCATTTTGTTCTAACACCCAAAGGAGCTAAGACATCATCACACAGCTGGATCACACATTTGGTGGTTGTGCTTTAGTGCCGCATCCTCTGGGGACAGGCAGCACACTACTTACTCCTTCACGTGCTTCATCTTGGTCCTGGCCATCACACTGTTGAAAATGGATGGTCTGGGGGACATGTCCACAGCCACACTGGTAATGGTCCTTGTGTCTGAAACAGCAATGCACATCCCTTATTGACGTCATCAGCACTCCTATAACCTCAAGGTGACATTCAAGGGCAATCAGAGAAGAGAAGTTAATCCACCTTTGCCACAGGTAATGCTACATTAATTAGAGAGTAATTCAATTATCACATGCACATTAATGAGATTTATTTCAAATGATATGAGTTTTTACAGTTTTGAGCTGTACGAAGATTTCAACCACCAACCCTCTCTCAGAAATCTGTTTAAACACAGTGTTGTTATTTAAAGGACGAGTTTTTATATTAGAAAACTCTATACTACCTATAGAGGCAAAATTCTGGGGAGCTTTGGGTCAGTCTCTCTTAACAGTTGTGCTATCCATTTAGCTAACAGGGACGTCTGCTAATGAGCACACCTTTCCCTGGAGCCCAACCTCACACTTGGCCATTAGCTCTTCGTTGCAATGAAAAGCAGAATGTTGACTGGGGTCACCTGCAGCCCTGGGTCCAGCAGAATGGAGGGGGTCAGAGCTGGTGCAAAGGTAAAAGAACTGTTAAGGAAAGGTGAGATATGACAAACTCTGCTGGGACACTTCTTCCCGAGAGACCCCAGAGGCCCTTACAAAACACTTTAGGACTGAGAGATCCTGGAACAGCACACCTTCCCACTGAGAAGCTGAACCTGGGCTAGGGAGAAGGCTCAGTGGGTAAGAGCACTAGCTGCTCTTACCGAGGACTAGGCTCAGTCCCCAGCACCCACGTGGAGGCTCCATCCATGTGTGACTCCAGTGCCAGGGAATCAAACACCCTCTTCTAGCACCAATGGGCATGAAGGCATGAAAGTGGGGCACACATATCCGTGCAGGTGAAACACCCACACACATAAAATAAAGATGCAAAGTTAAGTAGTTGGACCTGGCTCATGGGCGAGGGCTCTGTCCATCCATAGAGTGGGGCTCCCCAGTCAGCCACACTGTTTTGTCTCCATGGAGCTAGGGGAGAAATTCTGTTTCCTTAGGATGTTGCTTAACCATTGGTAAAACTCTGTGTACTCATACTCACTTACCAGTTACATCCATGGAAAGACCCAGGCTGTGAAATTCCTGCTCTTTTCTCAGCGAACCTTATGTAAATATGGCTGATTTGACAGCAACTTGATGAGGCAAAGACCAATTGCTGTTTTACATAGCAGTAAAACTATTTTTGTTCATATTTTAAAGTGTGAAAAGAGATAAACGCAAACCCTAGTTTTGTTAGGATGTATTCCGCATATATCCACTTTTGGATAGATCTGGAGGGCATGGGCTCTGCCCTTCTTGTTCTTATAGATTTTGTTGAGATGACATTTATCCTGCATAACTTTGTGACCCTTGGCTCTTTCCTCAGGATAGATCCCTGGATACAAACTTATTGGCTCTCCGGGTATGAACTTTGAAGAGGGCACATTCCAACTAGTGAAACAGCCTCTCTGTCCTGCCTAGTCCCTGACCACATGCCTTCACGTTACAGTCACAATTAATGACAACTGATTGCTGCCCTCTCTTTTTCCTCTGCCACAGCAGCTTCCTGCCAGCTCTCATCTTTCCATCAGCCCTGGCCAGGACAGACACTTGTCCCCAGGCAAAGCTAGGGGTGGGAAAGAGGAAGGCTTAGGGGTTCACTTCACAAAAGTGTAGGACTTGCTTGCACCTGAAAAGTTACTAAGCACATCACAAGTATGTTCTAGGTGAGCTCAAAAATCAGTTCTGCCAAAAGTAAGAGGTAAGCTCCTTTGCCCTCTTCAGGAGAGGGCTAGCAAGTCCTGAAGGCTTATGTAGCTAAAGGTCAAAGCAATTCCCAGGAGCTCTATGGGTTATTTCAAGCTGACCACTCTCAGCGTTGCTGGGAGGGATGCTAGCTTCCAAGTCCAGAGCTAGAGAAGGGGACAACGTGATTTAAAGCTGCAGGGCGGGCAAAACCATGGTGCTCGGTAAACAAGTGCTTCTCCATGCTTCTTACTGGGCAGTCTTTTCCTCCTCTCCACCCTGCTCTCTGACAGGTACAGTGGTAGTTTTATGTCAAATAAAGAAGACAACACACTTAACAATCATGGCAGAAATAATCTAGGTATCCTATAACCAGTCACTGAATCCCGAATGCTAATTTGATGTGACTTGCCCAGAGCTCCTGTTTTAAAATGCACATTTGTAAGGAATAGGTCCAGATAGAGCTGGGGATTCCGTCTTTCTAATAAGCATCCATGTGGTCCTAACGCTACTGGTCATGGGGTACATTCTGAGTAGCAAGGCTCTTAGACTAAGCTACATGTTGGGGTCCAGGGCAACATGGCAACACAGGACTCCTTATTCAGAAAGCAAGCTAGAGCTGTTTTCTTCCTTCTGCAGCACCCTCTGGGCCCATCATGGTATTTTATTTGTTTATCTTTGTATTAAAATTTTCTTTTACTCTTTTTAGCTAAATATTTAATGTCCCCTTTTCTCGGGAATTAGTGACATTCAGAGAGGTCTGGGAGTCCCTCTGGTCCTGACTCTATTCCACCCACACCCAAGTCCTCTGAAAATGGTGACAGTAATCATGAGGCTGGGTTCAGGGAGTGGCAGACCTGTCCTCCCAGGGAGGTAGACTGAGGAGAGAGAGCGCAGAAGCAAGACTTTTAAAACGCTGCCACACGTTTCACAGTCCTACCAGATTTCACTCACAAAACACACATCCAAAGATAAAGTGTCATTAATGTGTGGCTCCCACCTAAACCTGGGGTCCTCTGTAACTGCATGCACCCCCCACCACACACACACAAATAGGGGCCCTAATAGTGGAGTTCTTTCTTAAAGGTTTTTTAAAAACCGGAAGAATCTTTATTGTCTATGTTGGTTTTTAAATTAATTTTCTCTTAATAGATTTCAAGAGAAGTTTCATACAAATAGAAGATAGTATGTGTGAGACAAACACAAGTGTCAGATGCAGTTGCAATGTCAAGAGTTTCTAGAGATAGCTAGAGCCTCTCCCTTCTCTCGGGGTCTTGCATCATTGATCAGGAATAACATTCTTACTTGCTTTGGACTGACCTTTGTTTTGGCTTCACCTCCACCGTTTTTCTAAAGTACAATGTTTGTATAATATACATATGACGCTGTAAGGCACGGGAATGCGGAGAAGTACATTGAGTGTCGTGGAAAAAAATGCTCACCTGTAAGGACCACAGCTGCTATTCCAGCTCTCCTCTCCCCAGCTACACTGCCCTCAGGCTTCCTCCCTTCCTCCCTGAAGTGCCCTGAGCTTCAGACTCCTCGCTTTCTATTTAAGTGATTTCGTTAGCTGAGAGCCTTCCCTCACTTCTGTGAACAGGTGTAGGACTTGGGTACAGTCACAGAGCTTATCACAGAAGAGGCTCTGAGCAGCGGCAGGAACCAGTGCACAGAGACGAGTGGCTGAGAGTAACAAGTGTCCCGAGCATTACATGACTGTAGGCAAAAGCATCGTGAAGTCTCTTTTCTCTCCTGCGAAATACGAAATGATGAGGATTATAACACCTGCCACACCCCATGGAGATGTTTTGACAGTGAGGTGAAAATACAAATGATAGGGAGAAGCATTTAGCAAGCAGAAGCTGTGCTTGCAAAGCTCAGTTCATAACAATATTATCAGGATTCCTCCCACTCCTGTGGATGCTCCCCAGCAGAGGTATCTTCCCAGTGGAGGTGACAGCTTGATGGTACTGACATTTTACCAGAAGAGAAAGATTCTCCTCTCATTCTCCTTCTGAGATTTCCCTCTGCTCATTTCAGTGGCTGGACAAGTGACCTTGATCATAAAACAAGCCTGTGTGTTGCCCCTCGGCCCCCACTAACCATCCTGCACGTGGGCAGGAAAGAGCTGATGCAGGCACTGTAGGGGTGGATATTTTGGCTATGATCTCACTGAAGTGCCCAGAACATTGCTTACTCAGGAATCCTTGCAGAAGCTGCCTTTGGTGTGCTGGTCTCTTAGAACACTTCCACCTAACCTCCCATAACTCTCTCCTCTTTCCCTTAAGTTCCCAAGGCATATCCAGAAATTAGCTGTTGCTTGACAGGCATCAACTTTTTGTTCAAATGTTTGTGAAACCATGTCCTCATGGCCCCTGTTTCTTCTCCTCTTTGGAATGGGAAATGATGGGATATTCATAGACCAGAGGTCTTTTTTTTTTTCTGAAAAGGGACAGTTAATCACCATTCTAGAATTTGAAGGCCATACAATCTCTGTCATATTTATTCAACTCTTTTGTCCTAGCATGAATTCAGCCATAGGTACAAATACAGGAGTGAACATGGCTATGTTCCAGGGAAATTTTACTCACAAGAACAGGTAGTAAGCTAGGTTTGGCCTGCTGGCCACAGTTTGCTGACTTCTGACCTTTGACCTCAGTGATGGAGAAGCATCATGGTGGTGGCTGTAGAACTCCTCAAGACAAACACTTCATTTTACCAATGGGGAGACTGAGGTAAGGAGAACCTCTGAGACTTGGCCAAAGTTGCGGAGTCAGAAGGGAAGAGTTCAGGCTAGAACTACATTTGTCAGACTGTTGCACGAATCTCTAAAGGGTCTTATTAATAAAATCAAACCCGAAGCCAGGTATTAGGGTGAATGCTGGAAGATCAGAGAAGCAGAACAAGCCACAGCTACCTCACCTTGCCAATTCCTCAGCTGTTTCCTCAGACTGGAAGCCTCTGAGTCCTCATCCAGAATGATTCTCAGCTGAACTGCTATTAAAAGTCTAAAAGCTTAACCACGCCTTATATACCTTTCTGCTTTCTGCCCTCACTTCCTGGGATTAAAGGCGTGTGTCACCATGCCTGGCTGTTTCCAGTGTGGCCTTTAACTCACAGAGATCTAGATGGATCTCTGCCTCCCGAGTGATAGGATTAAAGGTGTGAGTGCCACCATTTTCTGGCCTCTATATCTAGTGGCTGTTCTGTTCTCTGACCCCAGATAAGTTTATTAGGGTGCACAATATTTTGGGAACACAATATCACCACAGTCAGACC